TCACTTCTTCGTACATGTGTATGACGAAGCAAAATGTCGCGCGCACGTAATTTTTCACCATCCCGTATTCTTGAGCAGCATATACAATAGGGCTTTCTCTCAATACCACATACCACTTTTTCATTTTTGTTCTTTTCAGTGACTTTCGCAGGGGCTAACGCTATACCGTCACTTATGATTTTTGAGGTACATCCCTGAATCAGTGTACTCTGGACAGTACTTGCCCGACTACTGTAATGGTCCAACGTACTTGATGACTCCAGCGGCCTTGGCAGCACTGATGAAAGCCGCCGAAAAAGCTGAGGTGAGAGCTTTTCTTAATTCTATTGTGACGTTGGGTTATTTGGATTGATGCGTTGTTTGTCAGTCCTGATTTGGAATGCGCCACAAATTTGGTCTCAACCAAGAACAGCAGTGACGTTTGAGTGCGTAATTTTCCTATACAATAAATTGAGAGCGCTGTTTAATGAACAAGTCTATGATTTTGTTCCCTCGGATGACTGGTACCCAGATGAAGGGTTAACCGACCTGAGTGGAGCACTTCATTGACTGGCAGGGTTCAGTTCGGGACTTGATACCCGTAGCGTGTTCATCACTTATCTCTAAGCGATTCTCCTCTGCTCCGTAGACCGCAAGCGACATAGTTTTCGTTTGTTATATCCTATCTGCATAACATTCACATTCCACTTCGCACGAGTCCAGGTCTAACTTGTATTGAATTTCAGGTGTTCGAAGTTGAGGATGCATTTTTCACAGGTGTTCTGGCCAACTTGGCAGGTGTACGGAGGCTAAACCTGCGGGGAATCTGGAATCGAGCGGTATGTTCTACCTGCTAAGCTAAGATCTCAACTGAAGGATTAAGAGCTGAGCAATAAAAGTCTACGCATTTTTGTGCATAAACTGCATAGGCTGTATTCAGCGCTCGGGTTTAATTCTTTTAGCGAGAGGAGGCGAAGTTCAGGTATGACGACTGAAGTGCAGGGCAGGAGTTTTTAGTACCAACAAACAGTGAAGATCAGGAAGGTTACATAGTTTTGAGAAAAAAATGTTAGAAATGAACGTGAAGAGGTGGAGGTTTTCAAAAGCCTCACTCCATGACTGCAAATGTGGCTAGGTGAGTTCGGAGCTAAAATCGTAAGCGCTAGTATGTCGCAATTGACGGGAGAAGAAACGAGAAATTCTCTAAAAAATTTTGATTAGAGCCTTTCTGCCGTTCATTATATGCTTTGTGGGGGCTTGGGATGAACAAGCATTGTGTCCCGGGAGAGAGAGCAGCTCACGGGAGATTGAGAGAGTGAGATCGAGTGAGCGCGCAAGCAGATCATCATGACGTAACTTATAAGGCGAATCATTTGGGAAGGGAAGAGCCACTGAAGCAATATTGGCTCTACTGGTTTGCGAGGAATTGATGGACAAGTTTGGAACTGAGAGACGGCTTTCTCCATCTTAATTATCCCTACTTAAATTGGTCGTAGTGACTTACTTATTCTGTCACTTGTAACATTACAGAAATGGTCACAACCGTGCGTCAATGGACAAGGTACTGTAATTAGCTATCCAGTACATTATGCTGGCCCTGAAGATCTATTGGAACATTGGGATAGCATACGTTCGCTGAGATGTCGTTACCCAATCGAAGACTTGCTCATGTCATTCATAATGAGAGATTAGGTAGATTCTTAGATTGATTTGTTAACTAGGAAGAGAGTGATTATTAGCTTCTCATTATTATTAGCTTTTCATTTTCACTATTATAAGTTCCATTTGATTTTCAAAATCAAAAATTGTAATCCAAAGACTTCTACGGAAATTTTGGAAAATTGAATCTGTCTGAAAGAACGAAATGGGTTTTGGACGTATAGGCACACAACTTGATATTAGGCATTATTGATGAGATGTGTTTGTCAGCCGAATTTTAGCAGCCTTTAAAAGAATAGTTTTTTTTCGTTTTTCCATTGACAGTTTGCTTTCGTTGGTTCATTGACTGGATTTACATTGATTTAAATTTTGAATAAATTGAAGTTAGGATGTTCCGTCTCAGTGACAATAATATCTGGTTGACCCAGTAAAGGTAACAATGTTTTTGACAGTAGTTTCTTGTACAATGAGAAACCGGTTGTTCGAATTTCCGAAGTTCCTTCAAGTCACTCCACTAAACATCCCGCAATGAATTTCGAAAGTTTTCAACAGGATCCGACAGAATACTAGATGAAGGACAGCCATGCGAGCAAGCAGGGTTTCGAAGAGGGTTCAGCACGATCGACCATATCCACACGGTTACAAGACTCATTGAAGTTTCACGAGAGTACAAGATGCCGCTTTGTCTCACGTTCATCGACTTGAAGAAGGCCTTCGACTCTGTGGAGACAGAAGCGGTCATCGAAGCCTTTGGCAACCATTACTCAGTACATAAGATTCTTGAGAAGCTTCGCGGCTGATTTACCACCAGCACTTCACCTCCCTCAAGGAGATCATCACCAACGTGACGAGAGGGGTACGATAGAGGGGGGGGGAGGCCATCTCACACAAAGGTTTCTACGCCGCTCTCGAGAACGTATGTCAGGGAACATTGGAGTAAAGGTCGATAGACTTCAAATACACACCTTCGTTCTACTGACGACATCGTGCTCATAACATCAAATCGAGCAAGCAGTCACTGAGCGTATGGACAGTCGAACCGGATAAAGCTATGTGAATTTCTAAATATTACCCGAAAGTCTAGAAAAATCGCACCACACAATGTGCATCACTGAAGCCCTGGAAGTATGGTCACCCATCCTTTTCAGACACAAGGAGAACAAATGCATGGCACACTCATAAAAAATAGACACTGAATACGTTCTTCTGCTCTTTGAACAGCAGGAACGCATAGACGACTATAAACGGCTGTAAAAATGTCACACTGGAGTTGCTACCGTGGGTGTGTGGCGACATGCAGAATTGAATTAGCTAAACCCGAACCCAGCTAAGACCTAACAAATCGGGTAAAATCATCTTTTCACAAATGGTGTCTAGTGCTTAGAATCCAGTTTTTCGGTATACCAGGTGCAATACAAATAGGTCCGCATTCAGGGCAAGAATTCCTCTTAAAACTACGTTCAACACTAATCAGCGTATTTTGAAGCATCTGAAAAGTAAAACGTAAAGGATGACATTCAAAAAGTTTTGAAACGATTCCAGGCCGTTAGAAGCGGAAAATTTGTCGAAACGTCAGGCACAATCAAATTTCACCATAAAAACCTATTTCAGCACAACAGCAGCAACTACGCACCCAAACAAATGCATAGGTTTCAAGAACTCAAAAGTACTGAATGGTCTAAGAAAATATAGCATTTTGTTTGTATTTGGGTCACTTCAGCTTCCTCCAGGGGCATTCTCCAACTTCACGAAAACCCTCGAGATCGTCGCATATCCCGCACAGTGCGCGAATTGACTTCAATAATTCGGAAGTGGATGATCATTTAATGACCCAGCGCGAGCGCATGCTGCAGTAATTACCATAATCCCAGGTGTGTGCCGCTTCTCTCTTTGAAAACCCCACCTGTCACCACGCTCATTGATAACGGTGGCTGGTTACAGCTGCTCGGGCCAGCTCGAAGGTGAATCAATGGTGCTCTTCTGGTAGAAGGTACTGTGCCGCACTGACAGGCCAGTTTTGGAGGATCGATTTCCAGAAAATATTCAATTTGTCAGAGGAGAGGCAGCCCTTCGCTCGGACCCTCTTTCCGATCATGAGCCATTAATCTATATCCCCTCTGAACGACATGATTACCAGGGTACTCGAAGCGAAATGTTGTTCCAATGCATGGACCGCTACACAAGCCCAGCAGGCATAACCTACAAAACCTGCAAAGCAAATGGTTCGCCACTGAATTCTTCTAAACAAGAAGGACTTCATCACTTCTACAGCTTAACTAACCTTTTTTCACTTTTCGCTACTTCTTCACAGCGAGAATTGTCCGCGCCCGAAATTGGAACCATTACAATTCCACGACGGAGACTATGTTTGACTGGAACTACTAGACTCGGGCTCTCCCCAGTGAACGATGTGGTGACCCCGCCGGGGTCAGACAGCCGGGACTCCGGAAGGCGATAATCGTCCGATCACCACTAATCCGCAGTCTGTGCAAACAACACGACGACGACTACGACGACACACCAATTAGCAGATTACAGTAATCCGGCCAATATGATGATCAGGGCTGATCACTAAAAAGTTGAAGATCTCTATAAGTTGTGTATTTCTGCAACATTGGAGGTTCCTACGGAAAAAAACCTTATCAGTGCGGAATTTCCTCTCTATAGTTGTTTGTGAAGGAAACGATCGGCCAAAATTTTGATATCAACTTTGAAAGTGTGACTGTTCTAGCAGATAAACCAGGTTCAGCCTGGAAGGAGCCCTGTAGGTAGGGGCTGTCGGTGGATTCTTCGACGGCGAAGATCCGCTTCGCGACAATTCAATCGATGCGTGATTTTTTGGAGCATGATTGTTCACTCCCTCTTTCGACCGGTAGATCGCTGGAAAAATTCCGGACCCGTGCTCCCGCGACCACTTCTGATCCTTGCACCGTTTGCAGAAAAAATCTCTTTAAACTTGGAGAAAAGGTTAGGCGCCTCGCAGTACACAATGTTACAATACAATACAATAGTCCTGCGATCGGAACCCTTTTCAGCTTCAGATCAGCAATGACATATATCGTGGAAAAAATATTCCAAGGTTATCACAAAAACAACTGAACCCGTATATCAATGGCGGCCACAATTTATTCTACAGCGACCTTTGGAGTTACATATAATTTCGACTGGATAGTCTCCAAAAGTCATTGTGATCAGTACTAGTGGATGCCGGTGCCCTGTGCGTCTAAAAAAGCATCGATCAAAACCAAGTAATTAACAGTTCCCTCTCAATCTACCCGTGATCCTGGTCTTCTTCAGAGATGAGTTTCACGGCCACGAAGTGCTTAGAAGCGGTTGTCCCTAAGCGCGCGCTGAATACGTTAGTGTCGTCAATGCTGAATCGGTGCCCTCGTCGTCGTTGCTGCGCTTTGTTTTCACAATGGCCATTTTCCGCCGCCTCTAATTGTCGCTAAACACGACACGAAGTCAACGAGCACAGCCGTTTCGAAGCATACGGTAGCCGCTTTGGACCAGGTCTATGCTTGTTTGTCTACTACATATAAAAGGTATCACAGAAGGGACAAAAGGAGTCGACAGGTCCATGGAGGGGCTCTGAACGCCAGATTATTGCGTTCATACAGAAAAAAAGTCCTCGGATCTTTCGCCTGATCTTTGGTATCTTGTGCTATATCGAGGAAGAGTAGGTGATGAAGAAGAGAGATTAGGTCATCATGCTGCAAAAACACAGCTCCCAATCCCCATCTTCACTTGCTCCTGATCACTGCTACTTGGCCACTGAGAATCTCTTTCCCGGCCATAATTGAGAGATTACATCATAGATTATGTAGGTAACGGATAGTCAATTTATGGAGTGAAAATCAAACGAAAATCACAGGAAAATGCTACACCGGAAAGGTTATGCTTCAGCTCATGAGAAGAGCGTATCATGGCCTTAACCGTGAACAAGCTCTTCAGAAATGAGGAAGTGAACGTGTGTCGCAGATTAGCTTGTAATTCCTGTCCAGGAACCGAACCGTTCCCGTTGCTTCCACTTTCTTTTTTATGGAACACTTTTAGGGGTAATTTTCAGCTCCTTCACGTTATCTGCGCATTGACTGCTTGTCTCATTCCCTAAAATGGTCAACTAATTGGTACCGACTTGCCTAATAGGATAAAAATGCTGATCCAACCCCTTGAAGCGCTTCATGGACATTCAAATAGTTCTATATCCCTAAATAGAGGCTAAGTGAGTTGCAGCGCTGTACTTCACATTCACTCTCAAAAAATCAAGAAGTGTAGCCCTCGAAGTCCTCTCGAAGTCAAGATTGAGCTATTGTTTGCGATATTGATGGAGTGATCTCTTTCAACTGTCACCATATCCATAATGAGGTAATTACATAATTACAGTGGTGATGTGCAGATTACGGTATCGAATACGCGTGTTACGCAATAACCTGTGCGCCGCTAAAGCATCGATCATGTACCGTTGTCTGTACACACAAAGACATCAAAGCTGACCGCTAGAGTCGACGGCGAGTGTGCTTGTTCGGGAGCTCATCAAGCTATTCGCGGACTCTCGCCGCTCAGTCACGACCTCTACAACGACATCGGTTTGATTGAATATGCATCGGAACGGCTCTTTTTAATCGTCCGCGGCGATAACGATTTGTCCTCGTCGACGACCTATCTGGTCAAAAGTCATGGAAACTGTGGGCTAGACTGATGGAAAAGAAGCCTGCTCTGTTGATCCCATTGGTGTACGCCATGCAGATGGCTTGTCTTAATAATTACAAAGGCGTTCAAACGTTCGAAGGTGGATTATTAGTTTTACAGAGGTTACGACCACTTCGTACATGATACATGCAAAGCGAATGCCCCTCGAAATCTCTGAGGCTTCACATCGAACGCGGCGCGATCCAAAAGGGTTGCTCTCTCCACCTACAATCATGAGTCACTCCATGTGTAAGATTAGAAGGGTCACTAACCCCGATCTCCTTTCCTGTCCTAGTGTATCCAATCCGCGGAACCCTATCAATTTTAGGACGGTCCCTCGT